TTATTTTATGTATTCAAATTTAAATCATGGATTTAAAACTAGCATAATGCATCAAATTGGAATAACGATTAAAATATATCATTTATGTTGTCCCCACGTTAACTATACATGTAAAGATAAGCCACTAGTTTACACCACAGCAGACCCAAATCTAGCACAGTGATATTGATTCGCGAGTCAGTGTCATCAGTCATTCTGACATAGTGGCGTCTCGGTATTGTTCACGTCACACGTTCTTATTAAATAAAAAAGATGAATCGCGTTTAGATAAATTTTATCAAAAAAGACACTGCAAATCAATACAATGATAATTGAAACACATTAGAATTGGATGACACACATTCCCATGTTTTTGTTGCTATATCTCATTAGGCCTGTAAAATAGATATTGATCTCTCTCCTGATATCAAAAATTGCGTTTTACTGAAATATCTCAAACTCAGAAATAAAACTATAGAAAACTGAGTAGTATAAAACTGATATATAAGGAAGCAGTCATTTTCATAAAATGTTTACTACGGTGGAAACAGGCGGCATATGATGCTGAAGTACATGTGGGTTAGTCATGAGTGAAGTGAAAGATGTTGACTGCTGACAAAACCCCCGCCACTCAGGTTTTGAGAGATACAGGCTGATGAGTACTAGGAGTAATTGGGAAGTATTATTTCCCTGTGTAATATAAAGTTAGATATGTAGGTTACTTGTTAGAAGGCCTGGTTGTTTCGTTATTACAATATAAGCCTGGTTCTCATTCGAGAGCTGAACATTACTTGCATTGACCAAAATCTATATATGTATATGGCAGATGTCGTCGACCCTTCTCCCAACACCTAAATTTCCTGCGTTATCCTTCCCAAACACCTAAAATCCCTGCCTTATAACCCCAGAACACATGAAATCCCCGTGTTATCCTCCCCGAACATCCGAAATATCTGTGTTGTCCTCACCGAACACCCGAAATCCCTGTGTTATCCTCACCGAACACCCGAAATCCCTGTGTTATCCTCACCGAACACCCGAAATCCCTGTGTTATCCTCACCGAACACCCGAAATCCCTGTGTTATCCTCAACGAACACCCGAAATCCCTGTGTTATCCTCACCGAACACCAGAAATCCCTGTGTTATCCTCACCGAACACCCGAAATGCCTGTGTTATCCTAACCGAACACCCGAAATGCCTGTGTTATCCTCACCGAACACCCGAAATGCCTGTGTTATCCTCACCGAACACCCGAAATGCCTGTGTTATCCTCAACGAACACCCGAAATCCCTGTGTTATCCTCACCGAACACCAGAAATCCCTGTGTTATCCTCACCGAACACCCGAAATGCCTGTGTTATCCTAACCGAACACCCGAAATGCCTGTGTTATCCTCACCGAACACCCGAAATGCCTGTGTTATCCTCACCGAACACCCGAAATCCTTGTGTTATCCTCACCGAGCACCCGAAATACCTGTGTTATCCTCACCGAACACCCGAAATCCCTGTGTTATCCTCACAGAACACATGGAATCCCTTTGTTATCTTCCAGGAACAACTGAAGTCCTTGTTTTACCTTCCCATAAGACATGAAATAATTGTCTTATCGTCCCGGAACACCCTAAATATCTTACTTATTCTCCTGGAACACCTAGAACCCTTGTCTTATCCTACCGGAACACCATAAATATCTTACTTATTCTCCTGGAACACCTAGAACCATTGTCTTATCGTCCCGGAACACCATAAATATCTTATTCTCCTGGAACACCTAGAACCCTTGTCTTATCGTCCCGGAACACCATAAATATCTTATTCTCCTGGAACACCTAGAACCCTTGTCTTATCGTCCCGGAACACCATAAATATCTTATTTATTCTCCTGGAACACCTAGAACCCTTGTCTTATCCTACCGGAACACCATAAATATCTAACTTGTTCTCCTGGAACACCTAGAACCCTTGTCTTATCGTCCCGGAACACCATAAATATCTTATTCTCCTGGAATACCTAGAACCCTTGTCTTATCGTCCCGGAACACCATTAATATCTGACTTATTCTCCTGGAACACCTAGAACCCCTGTCTTATCGTCCCGGAACACCCTAAATATCTCATTCTCCTGGAACACCTAGAACCCTTGTCTTATCTTCCCGGAACACCATTAATATCTGACTTATTCTCCTGGAACACCTAGAACCCTTGTCTTATCGTCCCGGAACACCATTAATATCTTATTCTCCTGGAACACCTAGAACCCTTGTCTTATCCTACCGGAACACCTGAAATCCTCATCGTATTCTCCTTTTGATTTCTTTAAGGATCTCAATGTATATTTGTTGGGATGTTAAAAATGAGATTATGACAACCACGTTTAATATGATATGATGCCAGTGTTATGGTAGTTTTCAAACAGGTCACCTAGCGCGAGAACACATAAGCATTGGTATGACAGGTATTTATAACTATGAGTATTAATTGGTAATTATAACACTATGTAATTAAAACAATAGATGTTTATAGGTATTTATAAAGATAGTTATTCATAACAAAAGGAATTTATAACAAACGATATTTATAAAGATAGGTATTTATAACAAAATGTATTGATAACAAAAGATATTTATAACGAAATGTATTTATAACAAAAGATATTTATAAAGATAGGCATCTGTAAGCATCTCCATTTTTAAGAGATAATTACTACCAACAAACAGGTTGTAATAGGATATAACAATCACTTTCTTTATTTGTTTACTTTTTATGATATAATAATTGTTATTGTTTGTGTGTAATTTTCGTACTGAATTTCCTTTTGAATTTTACTTAATCAGTAATGTCATTTAGATTAATTTGTTTTCTGTGATGGAGATTTAAGTGTTAGGTTTTGTACGGTAGAAAATTTTAGAAGATCTATAAAACGGAGCCGTTTGTGGTCACACTTCCAGCAGTAGGACATTGCTAGCTCTGAGATAATGCTTTGGTATATAGTTGAATTTAACCTGAATTCTTTCACACACACTTCTTGCTCATCTATTTTTTCACAAGGAAAAAGAAATATATTAGTGTATGATAAACCAAAGGACATTAGTTTCCGTTTCTACAACAGAACACGACATAAAACTACCAAAAGATATCCACTAACGCTCAGTATATATTTCATTTTGTATACCGCGGGGATGTACGATGCCTCTAAAACCTATACATGTTTAAAACATTACATGACCTGATTTCTATTTTAAAGAGACGTTTGCGGTCTTGATTAAGGCTTGACTTGTTTTCACTGGTGTATACAGCTGCCAATCAAATAAGTGATGTGAAATTGACTCGGTTGATTTTGATATCAATGTCACACGATTGAACACCACTATTAATGGCCTGGTGTTAAAGACCCAAGATAACGCGCGTCCTTTATACCAATACATTTATGTAATTGACACGTAGATAGTCTACAGTGATTTGATTGTATATGGCGTAACAAAAACAATATAATGTTTCATAGACCAATTTGCAATATGAATCTGAAAATGCCAAGCCATACGTAGTTATCTCCCTTCCTTTGAGAGGCGTATTATTTCGTAAAGACTATCAATGATATTATTTTATCCATTTCTCTTTTTTAACGATAGATTCCTGACATTATTCACCCATAAAAAAGATAATTTTCCATGAAATTTTAGTATTGAACAATTTCGATGACAGCAATAAACTTTGTTGGTTTCCTCTAAGTCTATGAAACAGTCAAATAAGACATTTACCATCAGGAAACAAAGTCCAGAAGGTTAAAAAAGAAAAAGAAAATTCAGATTTGAATTGGAGTTAACATTTGAATTTTGACCATTTGTAATGTTCTTAACGTTGTCCAAAAGACGGAAATCTTCATTTTGGCAGGAAGTTTCCTTTTGAATTCATTTACAGTCGGATAACGCAGATCTGTTCTTGTTTCACTGAAATGTTTCCATAGCTATTGATATATAATACAATGTGTTCCCTCTTTTAATTGAAACTACACCGATTTTATCAACTGGAGAAGGAATTACAATGAGTCAATGTCACATACAAAGAACCACACCATGTCTTGTTACAACAACATTCTATTCTGCCAGACGCTTGACATAGATATTAACATTTAGAAACACAGATGAGACCAAGACTAACGGGTAACACTATTAACCTGAACATGGACATTAAATGTGATTACACGACATCTCTCTTTTTTTTCTTTTTAACTGAAAGATCTTTAACACTATAACACTAATAATAAAATGAGTTATATTTACCATATCAATAGTGTTTGTTATTTCTTATCATTTAGCACAGTTCTCAGATCAAAAGTCTTTTAATAAAAGCAATACAACAGTTGTTATTCTTGTAAATGATAAAAACTATTTTATATTGAATGATATGCAAAATAAATCACAATGTTCTTGAACTTCGTCAATGAGTAGTATAACATTAACAAACCAAAAAATAGATCAAAGAACATATAATAATGGAACGTGTATTGGAACACGTCACGGAACACATCCGGGAACACTTGGAAAACATCATGCCAGGAAATCACAATTAAATATTGTTTTGACTAGAACTATAACTCTTTAAGCTTTGTATATGTTAATATTCACTGGAACCGACTTGGTTTCCGAACTTCGCGACCTGATTTAGTTTCATATGGACTTTTGACTAAATCACGAGGCTTATCCTCAGGACTGACAGTTGGTACACATGCAGGTTGTGACTTGAGGTCAACTTCGGAGTGTATTGTTGGACTTTGAACTGCAGGACTTGTGATCTCCAGCTTTATATCCTCATCATCCAGTGTAGGTAAGGACTTTGTTACTTTGAGATGCTTCCTGTTCCTTCTGTATTTCTTTCCATCTGATGTCTGTACTACATTGGATCTTGGTGTCTGGTGTTTATCAACTACAGTGCTGTGTGTCCATGTCCTTTCATTATCTGTTTTCATCATGACAGTGTCATTCTCTTGTAATGGTTTGAGACCTTTTGTTGCATGTCTATTCAAATAATTTCTTTGTCGAAATTGTCTTAACTTTAAACTGTCCTGAATCTCGTCTAACACTCGTGGTTTCAACAATGGGTAGGGTGGTCTTAAGTCGCCTTCCCATGAACATTTGTGCAGGTGAAAGGTCAATTCCATCGATCGGTGAATTTCGATAATCGAGTATTGCTAGGTATGGGTCATTTGCCTTCTTCAGTAGTCTCTTTACTGTCTGTACCATTCTTTCCACTTGACCATTTGATGAGGGGTAATGTGGACTCGTGGTAGTGTGTTGAAAACCGTAGTCTTTTGAGAATTTGGTAAATTCCCGACTTGCAAACTGTGGTCCGTTGACACTTATGACTTGGTCTGGAATTCCATATTTGGAAAATTGGCTCTTTACATGGTTAATGACAGAGCTGCTTGTCAGTCCTTGTAATTTTGAGATTTCAGGCCACTTTGAAAAATAGTCTACGCTAAGCAGGTAATGTTGACCCTTAAGTTCAAATAGATCCATTGCCACTTTAGCCCATGGTCGGTTTGGTATGTCGTGGGGTATAAGTGGTTTCTTTGCGTTGCTGTTTGTGTGTCTAGCACAAATGTTGCGGGTGGCAACCATCTCTTCTATATCAGTACTCATTCCTGGCCAAAATAGTACTTCCCTCGCGCGTGCCTTACATTTGACCATACCAAGGTGCGCCTCATGTATCCGGTCAAGCATTTCTGGTCGCAGAGACTTTGGAATGATCAGTTTGTGTCCTTTAAACATCAATCCATCAATGCAGGCAACTTCGTCGCGATAATTCCAGTATGTCTGAATTTGTTGATCAACTTCCTGTTTGGTTCCCGGCCAACCAGTCATTATTTGTTGTCTCAGCCTTGACATCTCTAGGTCATTTTCTGTACCTTCTTTGATAGTTTTGTACTTTTCTGATGATACCGGTAAATATAGAGTTCATTGACAGCAAGATCCTCTACTAAAATTTCCTCTGTTTCCTCTAGGAAAGGCCTTGACAGTGTGTCAGCTACATATAACAATTTGCCTGGTTTATAGGTCACCTCCAGGTCATACTTTTGGAGTGTGAGCAACAGTTTGTGAAGACGAGCAGGTACTTGATACATAGACTTCTTAAATATGCTCTGTAACGGTTTGTGGTCAGATTCCACTTGAACTTTCCTCCCATAAAGGTATTGATGGAATTTTGTGCATCCATACACTATTGCGAGAGTCTCTTTCTCTATCTGTGAGTAGCGTTCCTGAGTAGGAGTTAGTGCCCTTGATGCATATGCAATAGGTTTATCTTCCTGTATGATTGCTGCACCCATTCCTTTTGAGCTACTATCCACTGTCATTACAATCGGTTTGTTTGTGTCAAAGTATGTCAACACTGGTGCCTTGGTCACCATCAGCTTCAATTTATTGAAAGTTTTTCCTGTTGGGCTCTCCATTCCCAATGTGTGTCCATTCCCAGGAGTTGTCTTAGTGGTGCAGCTACCTCAGACAAGTTTGGCTGGAATTTTGCTAGATATTGTACAAATCCTAAGAAGGTCATCAGTTCCTTTTGATTCTGTGGTGCCTTCATTCCTTTAACCGCTCTAACCTTGTCAGGGTCTGGTCTAAGTCCATCCTTGCTAAGGACGTGGCCAACATATGTCACTTCCTGTCTCCCAAACTGACATTTATCAGTACTTAATTTGAGGTTATAAGCTTTGGCCTTTTGAAGGACTTCTTGTAGCCTTCTGTCATGTTCCTCGACTGACTTTCCCCATACTAAAATGTCATCTACTATAGCTTCTGCGCCATCAATGTCTTCCACCATGTTTGCCAAAACCCAGACGTAGCGTCCAGTTTGGAGAAATATTTGGCTTCCGGAATCCGTGCTACTATTTCCTCAATGGTCAGCATAGGATAGTGTTGTCTCTTGATAGCTGTATTCAAATCTCTTACAGACATATTCTGATTTTACCATTTGGCTTGGTAACCGTTACCATGCTATTAACCCAGTCTGTAGGTCCTTTCTCACGCACAATTATGCCATTTTTTCCATTTGTGCCTATTCCAGTTTTACCTTGTCCCTTAATGCCACTGGCACTTTTCTCGGGGGGTGTATCACCGGCTGTACTGTACTGTTAATATGTATTGTGTGATATCCTGGTAGACAGCCTACTCCACTAAATAGTTCGCTGTACTCTTCTTTTAGCTTTTCGTAGCGTACTTGACTATCATTGTTTGTAGAGCTTCTGTTCAGCCCAAATAAGCGTTTCACCAGTCCAATCGCCATAGCGCTCTCTGCTCCTATGATTGTAGGGGCTGTTTTCTCAATTACTTGAAATTGTATCACATGATTGTTGTTGTCCTTGAAATGTTTTGTTGTTCACTATACAACACACTGTCCAATCATCATTGAATCTTTTTACTGGCAAGTCATTTACCATTCCTGCATACAAATCTGTCTCTCTATCATCACTTGTACTGTCATCTGTGAGGTAATTCTCCAACACCTGTACTAACATTTTACTGTTCTTTTTGTTGTACTTTGGTTTCTCACTACGACATTGGCTCGCTGAAGTAGGGATTACAATGTGTCAGAAACTACACATGTTTTATCAACTGGAGTAGGGATTACAATGTGTCAGAAACTACACAGATTTTATCAACTGGAGTAGGGATTACAATGTGTCAGAAACTACACAGATTTTATCAACTGGAGTAGGGATTACAATGTGTCAGATACTACACAGATTTTATCAACTGGAGTAGGGATTACAATGTGTCAGAAACTACACATGTTTTATCAATCAACTGGTGTAGGGATTACAAGTGTCAGAAACTACGCGGGTTTGATCAACTGGAGTAGGGATTACAATGTGTCAGAAACTACACAGGTTTTATCAACTGGAGTAGGGATTACAATGTGTCAGATACTACACAGATTTTATCAACTGGAGTAGGGATTACAATGTGTCAGAAACTACACAGGTTTGATCAACTGGTGTAGGGATTACAATGTGTCAGAAACTACGCGGGTTTGATCAACTGGAGTAGGGATTACAATGTGTCAGAAACTACACAGGTTTTATCAACTGGAGTAGGGATTACAATGTGTCAGAAACTACACAGGTTTTATCAACTGGAGTAGGGATTACAATGTGTCAGAAACTACACATGTTTTATCAACTGGAGTAGGGATTACAATGTGTCAGAAACTACACAGGTTTCATCAACTGGAGTATGGATTACCATGTGTCAGAAACTACACATGTTTTATCAACTGGAGTAGGGATTACAATGTGTCAGAAACTACACATGTTTTATCAACTGGAGTAGGGATTACAATGTGTCAGAAACTACACATGTTTTATCAACTGAAGTAGGGATTACAATGTGTCAGAAACTACACATATTTTATCAACTGGAGTAGGGATTACAATGTGTCAGCAACTACGCAGGTTTGATCAACTGGAGTAGGGATTACAATGTGTCAGAAACTACACAGATTTGATCAACTGGAGTAGGGATTACAATGTGTCAGAAACTACACATGTTTTATCAACTGGAGTAGGGATTACAATGTGTCAGAAACTACACAGGTTTGATCAACTGGAGTAGGGATTACAATGTGTCAGAAACTACACATGTTTGATCAACTGGAGTAGGGATTACAATGTGTCAGAAACTACACATGTTTTATCAACTGGAGTAGGGATTACAATGTGTCAGAAACTACGCGGGTTTGATCAACTGGAGTAGGGATTACAATGTGTCAGAAACTACACATGTTTTATCAACTGGAGTAGGGATTACAATGTGTCAGAAACTACACATGTTTTATCAACTGGAGTAGGGATTACAATGTGTCAGAAACTACACAGATTTGATCAACTGGAGTAGGGATTACAATGTGTCAGAAACTACACATGTTTGATCAACTGGAGTAGGGATTACAATGTGTCAGAAACTACACATGTTTTATCAACTGGAGTAGGGATTACAATGTGTCAGAAACTACACATGTTTTATCAACTGGAGTAGGGATTACAATGTGTCAGTAACTACGCGGGTTTGATCAACTGGAGTAGGGATTACAATGTGTCAGAAACTACGCGGGTTTGATCAACTGGACTAGGGATTACAATGTGTCAGAAACTACACATGTTTTATCAACTGGAGTAGGGATTACAATGTGTCAGAAACTACGCGGGTTTGATCAACTGGAGTTGGGATTACACTGTGTCAGAAACTGCACAGGTTTTATCTCCGATGTTGTGAGCTTTTCCTTTTCTTTGTTTCAAATGAAAATCTTCTACAATGAGAAATAAGAGCGTGATTTGATGGAGACCGCTGTCATCTTTAACACGTAATGACGAATGAATCAGACGTGGGTCACATTGCCTCCCACTAGATCGTTGTAAAACTGCATGAGTGTTTGTTTTACCTCTTAAAACCAGGAACCAACATGTACAATTACAACAGATTGATTCAATTATGATTATAAATCCACTTTTTGTTGTGCTGTAGTGAATCTTAATGTCGTCGATGAAAAAGTTGTAATATCTTAAAGAACAGTTTTTACAGCATGGTCCTTGTCTATACACACAATATATCTGTGTTACGTTATCGTCACTATTATGCCATAGAAATCCTGCTCTCTTAATTACCAAGCAAAATTTCATCAATATTTGGTTACTTTAAAAAGCTACAGAGAGGTTTGAACTCTCCCAATGGCGGGAAGGCCTTCAACACGACATAGAGGTTGTGACTGTACCTAGATTAATTTTATTGTTGTTGTTATTGTTGTTGTTGTTGTTGCTGCTGCTGCTGCTGCTGCTGCTGCACGGATTAAACATGCACATACAGCAGCAGTTTGTATTTTTAATCTTGTCGAATTATCAAACACTTAACGCCCTGCCCTGTAAAAACCAAGGGTATCTGAGTGAGATGACTTGCTGTTATATATTTTGAATTCTGTTTGCTCTTAATAATAGAGATTTTACTCAAATAAATAAAACGATCCCGATAAGGTTATGTACTAGTCGATGATGTATTTAGATAAAAATTAGAGCCGTGATAGTGCAGTCGGTTAGAATATAAGCCTATGTAAGTTCAACGATCCCTTTCTGTTGCAGTTTGTGTTTCTCAGGAAGCAGAGACCATTCTGTGCTGACGTGGTTGCGACATTCGGTAAGACATTCTCCCATGATTGCTTTAGACGGCATGCTACGGGCCTCCCGTATGTTGTTCTGTTAGGTAGGCACCAGTTACTACAAGAAGACCTCGGTAGTTCATAGGGCGATCAACTCAACAATGTAAGCACAATAAGAATAACATCTTTCATTGTTACTGTAGATATGCTCCAATGCTCAATGATAACTCTTCTCATTGTTAAGACATATCTGAATATTTTAAGGAAGATAATCTGGTGTCTTCATTTAATCAGTGTTTCAAAACAGGACAAAAAAGCCGGATAGCAAACCATTAATATTTATTTATGAAAGTGTATTGTAGAGGAAACATATGATACCCTTCTGTATACTTTATAGAAACACGACTTATAACCCTCCCCAGATCTGTAAAGACAATCATTGCAGACGAATAACCCTTGTAAATGATAATACATATCTCGTCATCACGAAAATGCTGAAATGATTGACCCCTTTAAGAAACTGGAGATGTCTGGAGTTTCTTGGTATTAGCAACTCAAATAATGTGAAAGTCCCTTCTATATTAGAGTATAAACTTCTCCAGTTCATCTATCAGATGCTGAAAGCCATTTAATCATTTAAGCTACGATACTGATTAAATCAAGACTGCATTGCATCACCAGACAATTGCATGCTAATACCATCAAATCATCAGTGCCATCTTTGTCACTATAAATTTACTTATGACTGTTGTCCTCTTCTTCATCTGAAGAATCGCTGTCACTGCTATCGGAACTTCCTCCACCTTTACCTTTACCAGATCTACCATAGTCTTCTTCTTCATCCGAAGAATCGCTATCACTGCTATCGGAACTTCCGCCACTGTTGCTATCGTCTGAAGAATCGCTGTCACTGCTATCAGAACTTCCACCACTGTTGCTATCGTCTGAAGAATCGCTATCACTGCTGTCGGAACCTCCTCCACTGTTGCCTTTACCAGATTTACCGCCATCATCATCGCCTGAAGAATCGCTATCACTGCTATCGGAACTTCCACCACTGTTGCTATCGTCTGAAGAATCGCTATCACTGCTGTCGGAACTTCCTCCATTGTTGCCTTTACTAGATTTACCGCCATCATCATCGCCTGAAGAATCGCTATCACTGCTATCGGAACTGCCGCCACTGTTGCTATCGTCTGAAGAATCGCTATCACTGCTGTCGGAACTTCCTCCATTGTTGCCTTTACCAGATTTACCGCCATCATCATCGCCTGAAGAATCGCTATCACTGCTATCGGAACTGCCGCCACTGTTGCTATCGTCTGAAGAATCGCTATCACTGCTGTCGGAACTTCCTCCATTGTTGCCTTTACCAGATTTACCGCCATCATCATCGCCTGAAGAATCGCTATCACTGCTATCGGAACTGCCGCCACTGTTGCTATCGTCTGAAGAATCGCTATCACTGCTGTCGGAACTTCCTCCATTGTTGCCCTTACCAGATTTACCGCCATCATTACCGCCATCATCATCGCCTGAAGAATCGCTATCACTGCTATCGGAACTGCCGCCACTGTTGCTATCGTCTGAAGAATCGCTATCACTGCTGTCGGAACTTCCTCCGCTGTTGCCTTTACCAGATTTTCCCCCGAGGTCTTCCTCTGAAGAATCACTATCACTGCTATCGGAACCTCCATGATATTTTGAACCGGCTTCTTCTTCCTCTGACGAACTACTATCACTGCTATCAGAACTTCCTCCGCTGTTGCCTTTACCAGATTTACCGCCATCATCATCGCCTGAAGAATCGCTATCACTGCTATCGGAACTTCCACCACTGTTGCTATCATCTGAAGAATCGCTATCACTGCTGTCGGAACTTCCTCCATTGTTGCCTTTACCAGATTTACCGCCATTATCATAGCCTGAAGAATCGCTATCACTGCTATCGGAACTTCCTCCGCTGTTGCCTTTACCAGATTTCCCAGCGTGTTCTTCCTCCGAAGAATCACTATCGCTACTATCAGAACCTCCATCATATTTTGAACCGGTGTCTTCTTCCTCTGACGAACTACTATCACTGCTATCAGATCCTCCATCACTTTTGCCTTTTCCAGATTTATACCCGCCGAAACTTTTTCCTTTTGCGGATTTGTACCACTTTGATGAGACCTTGCCACTCCATTTTTTATATTTCTTCCCTTTGCCGGATTTACCTTTCTTTCCTTTGCCGGATTTACCTTTATTCCCTTTGCCGGATTTACCTTTCGTCACTTTGCCGGATTTACCTTTATTCCCTTTGCCGGATTTACTATTCTTCCCTTTGCTGGATTTGCCTTTCTTCACTTTGCTGGATTTACCTTTCTTCACTTTGCTGGATTTACCTTTCTTTCCTTTGCCGGATTTACCTTTCTTCACTTTGCCGGATTTACCTTTCTTCACTTTGCCGGATTTACCTTTCTTTCCTTTGCCGGATTTACCTTTCTTCACTTTGCCGGATTTACCTTTCTTCCCTTTGCTGGATTTAATGCTTTTATAACTCCCCTTTTTCCATTTCTTGCAGCTTTTCTTGCCTTTCTTTCCCTTACAGCTTTTCCAAGATTTCCACATCTTATATTTTTTGCATCCTTTCTTGCCTTTACAACTTTTGCCAAACTTATAAACCTTACCTTTCTTACAACCTTTTTTGCCCTTACAACTTTTGGAAACACTTTTTGAACTCTTCGAAGATTTGCTACCCTTTACATTTTTAAGTCCATAGCTTTTAGTGGCCTTGAAGTCATGGTATGATCCCTTGCTACTCTGAATGCTTTTTGACGATGCACTCTTTACAAGTTTGTTAGCTTTATTACTTCCAAAACTTATCATGTGTTTGTTTCCAGATCCCTTACTTTCTGTTGTGGAGCTCTTCTTTCCTCCACTTAATTTATTTCCCCAACCAGATTGTCCCCATTCGCCTCCTTTTCCGCCCAATGTCGATTTAACAACATCGTTTCCTTTACTGCCCCCGGAAGTTTGACCAAACCCGCCGCTTCCTGATGAAGAACCCTTCTTTCCTCCTTTCGATTTCTTTGTTGAACCATATTTTCCTTCGCCTCCTTTTCCACCCAATGTCGATTTAACGACATCGTGTCCTTTACTGCCCCCGGAAGTTTGACCAAACCCGCCGCTTCCTGATGAAGAACCCTTCTTTCCTCCTTTCGATTTCTTTGTTGAACCATATTTTCCTTCGCCTCCTTTTCCGCCCAATGTCGATTTAACGACATCGTGTCCTTTACTGCCCCCGGAAGTTTGACCAAACCCGCCGCTTCCTGACGAAGAACCCTTGTTTCCTCCTTTCGATTTCTTTGTTGAACCAGATTTCCCTTTGCCTCCTTTTCCACCTAATGTCGATTTGACTACATCCTGTCCTTTACTACCACCGGAATGTTTACCGACACCACCGCTTCCTGTTGAAGAACTTTTTTTCTCTCCTTTTGATTTCTTTGCTGAACCAGATATTCCTTTGCCTCCTTTTCCACCTAATGCCGACTTAACTACATCGTGACCTTTACTTCCACCGGAACTTTTACCGAACCCACCACTTCCTTTTGATGAGCCTTTCTTTCCTCCTTTTGATTTCTGTGTTGAACCAGATTTTCCTTTGCTACCTTTTCCGCCTGATGCTGATTTGCCTACATCAAGTCCTTTACTGCCACTAGAGCCTTTACCGAACCCGGCACTTCCTGTTGATGAGCCTATCTTTCCTCCTTTTGATTTCTGTGTTGAACCAGATTTTCCTTTGCTACCTTTTCCGCCTACAGCCGATTTGCCTACATCAAGTCCTTTACCACCAGTAGAACCTTTACCGAACCCGGCACCTCCTGTTGATGAGCCTTTCTTTCCTCCTTTTGATTTCTTTGCTTGACCAGATTTTCCTTTGCTACCTTTTCCGCTTGATGCCGATTTGCCTACATCAAGTCCTTTATTGGTACTAGAGCCTTTACCGAACCCACCACTTCCTGTTGATGAGCCTTTCTTTCCTCCTTTTGATTTCTTTGCTTGACCTGATTTTCCTTTGCTACCTTTTCCGCCTAATGCCGATTTGCCTACATCAAGTCCTTTATTGCCACTTGAAACTTGACCGAACCCGGCACCTCCTGCTGATAAACCCTTCTTTCCTCCTTTTGATTTCTTTGCTGAACCAGATTTTCCTTTGCCACCTTTCCCGCCTAATGCCGATTTGCCTACACCAAGTCCTTTATTGCCACTTGAAACTTGACCGAACCCAGCACTTCCTGCTGATGAGCCTTTCTTTCCTCCTTTTGATTTCTTTGCTGGACCCGATTTTCCTTTGCCACCTTTTCCGCCTAATGCCGATTTGCCTACATCAAGTCCTTTATTGCCACTAGAGCCTTTACCGAACCCAGCACTTCCTGTTGATGAGCCTTTCTTTCCTCCTTTTGATTTCTTTGCTGGACCCGATTTTCCTTTACCACCTGGTCCGCCTAATGCCGATTTTCCTACACCAAGTCCTTTATTGCCACTTGAAACTTGACCGAACCCGGCACCTCCTGCTGATAAACCCTTCTTTCCTCCTTTTGATTTCTTTGCTGGACCCGATTTTCCTTTACCACCTGGTCCGCCTAATGCCGATTTGCCTACACCAAGTCCTTTATTGCCACTTGAAACTTGACCGAACCCGGCACCTCCTGCTGATAAACCCTTCTTTCCTCCTTTTGATTTCTTTGCTGGACCCGATTTTCCTTTACCACCTGGTCCGCCTAATGCCGATTTGCCTACACCAAGTCCTTTATTGCCACTTGAAACTTGACCGAACCCGGCACCTCCTGCTGATAAACCCTTCTTTCCTCCTTTTGATTTCTTTGCTGGACCCGATTTTCCTTTACCACCTGGTCCGCCTAATGCTGATTTGCCTACATTAAGTCCTTTATTGCCACTAGAAACTTGACCGAACCCGGCACCTCCTGCTGATAAACCCTTCTTTCCTCCTTTTGATTTCTTTGCTGGACCAGATTTTCCTTTACCACCTGGTCCGCCTAATGCTGATTTGCCTACATTAAGTCCTTTATTGCCACTGGAACCTTTACCGAACCCGGCACCTCCTGCTGATAACCCCGTCTTCCCACCTTTTGATTTCTTTGCTGGACCCGATTTTCCTTTACCACCTGGTCCGCCTAATGCCGATTTGCCTACACCAAGTCCTTTATTGCCACTAGAAACTTGACCGAACCCGGCACCTCCTGCTAATGAACCCTTCTTTCCTCCTTTTGGTTTCTTTGCTAAACCAGATTTTCCTTTGCCACCTGGTCCGCCTAATGCCGATTTGCCTACATAAAGTCCTTTACCACCAGTAGAACCTTTACCGAACCCGGCACCTCCTGTTGCTAATTTACCTGCATGTTGTCCTTTAACCCCACCGGGACCCTGTTTTACTGCACTTGGTTTCTTTGTGGAACTAGATTTGCCTATACCAACTTTGCCACATCCAACACCAGATTTTGCATTACATGTTGCTGTACCGGTTTTCGATAACATGTTAGCAGCCTTTGGTTCTTCCCACCACTGCCCGCCTCCAGAACCCGCTGAAGACTTAGAACCGACAACGTTTCCAGATGAGGCCGATGCAGCTTTTGCTTTGCCTCCTGGAGTATGTTTGTCAAGTTCTGCCATTAAGTGTTTCCATTGAAGATTGTCAATAAGAAGACGTTTGGCACAGTCTTCTTCATCACAACCTCGACACTGCTTGCCATTATGAATACGGAAAGTCTCGCATGCACACTCGGGTTTGACATGAGGGCACCCCCTCTTGCGTTCTGGACAGTCCGGTATACCTCCCTTCGACCCTATTGAAACAATACTTGGTGTCATATTTCGCATTTGGTTTACATATTTTCAAAACATTTTAACGCTGTTGTGGACAGGTTCTGTAGACAAATATATACATTTTTCGGAGAGAGAAAGAAATAGTGCAATTTACATATATGTGTGTGTTCAGTCCATTCATTTATGTTAAATGCCTTCCATTGAATACAGATATTATAAATGTGATATCGATATTGTCTGGTAAAACTTAATGATTGTTAACCAATCAAAGTGTACTGTTGATTGTCATTTTATATTTCTAATATGCTATTGAACAAATAAATGTAGAAGTATTTGTTATAAAATTTATTTGCGACATTTAAAACCATGTAACATACCATGCTTGCCGGGCTTATTTTGCTTTTGTTTGCCATGGAAACCTAGAAAGGTAAAACACATTGGTTGAATTTTAAAAAGAACACTTGGCAATATATTGCACAAAAGTATGATGACAGAAAAATCCAATTCAAATGAAAGCTATCACAATTTATCACTATATATCATCATTTAATTTGTTTTGTTTTTTTTTTTCTTTTTTTTTTTTGACGAAAAGAAGCGGTGTTTACAAATAACTGTAGCATTGGTGTATTATTAAAGAGTGCATTAGGAACAATAACCAGTTGCCAACAGTTATAACAGTAAAAGGAGTTAGATTATTATTCCTTAGTCGCCTCCTAGGCTTCAAAATGTAGGGACTGGGTCTAGAAGGACGAAACAGTTGTATGATGCGGTTTAATTCATTGTTTGGCTCAACTGTATCGCACTCTAAATTATAAAAAGGTGTTAATCACTTGTGTTCTTTTGTACAGTATTTCCAGATGGAAGACACTTCTGGAGGATTTTAAGTACTAAAGATCTGTCGAAACCTCTATACTGTTATTCATCCGAATAGCCGTACGGTTCAGAATATACAAGTACTTGATGTTTAATCAAAATTAATTGTTATCGAAAAGCATGAAAATTATTGAATTTTGGGACTAATGCATCTGACGCGCCATAAGTGGTCCAAAGAAATGAATGAAGATACTTAGATGGGCAGATAAATATCAATCATAAATATGAATGCATCTGCGGCTGTCTATTCTATTAATTCTTTGATAAAGTGGCCACAAAGCCATACAAAGAACTGGCACACATGACATTTAAACACACTTACCTATGGCTTTCACACAGGTTTTCCCACAATGATTGGAGCAGCATTTTTGTCCAAGAAGACAGTTGCCATCGGACACGCACTGTGGTCCACAAGGTCCAGAAAGGTTGGGCTGTACTACTGGGCAGTGTCCATTGTGCTTCTTGGTACTGACCTCTAGATATAATGAAAATACAAAATTATTGTTCCATGCTTGTAAAACATCGTGAAGAGTTATTGTATGCCAAGAAAGCGCGAATGAATTATTATGTTAAGGCTTCAAGGATGCAAGTAATCGGCGAAAGACCAGTATCTTGAAGGTACATTTTGCAAAAAATGAAAGGCGTACCCTCTTCAATAATTCTACAAAAAATCATCTCTTTTTATTTAAGTTAAAAGTAGAACCAATGATGTTTGAAGTATCAAAAAACAAAAAAACCAAAATAAAAAACCCTAAATTTCAGAAGAATCCAAACTAAGAGAAACGTTTACAGTTTTTGTTTCTTGTCACTGATGAACAGTGGACCAAATGATATAACGGTGTGATTATAAACCCAGGAAGTCCTTTACTTATTAGTAAAATAAATGCTGCACAAACACAAACAACCCAACCACATAAAATAGATATGTCTGTTGATTAATTGTGAAAATTATTTATCCTGTCACCAAAAAATAATAATATCACTATTGACGCGAGAACTATCGACAGTTTACAACATTCGCACCTCGAGAGATGCAGGGTGATGGAAACCTCTGTAATATAGAACGTTATATTTTATTGAGTGATAGTAACTTTCACTGAGGGGTTTTAGAGTAAACAAAAAACAGATAATAACCTTGTTTTTTTTTAATAATTTTAATTTTAATCTGTTCTTATTTTGCCATTATTTCATCGTTTCTTAGTAGGGTAGACTATTCTCCTGTTATTTATGTATAATCCATGAGTAATGCTGTCATTGTGTGTATACATTATATGCTGATATGATGGTATACACGAATCTGACCTGTCAAAACGTGCAATGTTTGTTTCCGGTGTATATATTTAGACTACAGGTATATATATATATAAATGTACAATGTAAAGTCACATTTTTATAGTAAAATATTTCAATATTCCTGATTAAAATCTTGAGCGCAATATCAAATTTACTTGACTGTGGAGAACAATTTCTTTGACTTCAAAACTTGCTGAATGTGAATAATTGCTTTCAAATGTACTTCGCTCTTCCGTTTTCTAGTATAAAAAAGTTACATGTATCCTTATCAAGCCAGTTCGCATGGATGGCATTTCCAGATTATAACCGTGACCGCGAAAATATAATCCTTGAAATAATGAGACATGTGCGTACTAGATGTTCTTTGACATCCAGATCGCGAAATTTTAACTCGTTAAAAATATTGACCGGTGAAAATTATTAACTGAAATTGCTATTTTGCTCACCATAACATTATTATGCTGTAATTATACTAACTGTTGTTAATTAGTCACATGGAATTAAATTGTAATCAAAGTAATTGCTTTAGGAGATAAAGCTATGAACATTAATGCCACTGTTTGTATTAATATATGTTGTTAGAATCGGATATTGTTATGTCATTTCAATTTGAAACAAGAAAAACTAAACTGTTGGTGCACAGAATAGACCTATCAGACAGAAGACAGTGTCGTTAACAATAATAAATTTGAAGAAATCCTTGATTCATTTGCGTGTTATTCATGAAATGTCACGATTGCTATTCGGATGAAACTGTTAGGTCATTCTGAAAGATTAATTAATATGTTAAGAAGATTGTTAGACACACAAGTGAATGAATAGCATATATCAATTAGAGCATTCTGTGTAACAAGTTGTACCAACTTGTACACAACCGTGACAATATATGACGGAACTAATATCACGGGAATGATGACTGTCGTCAAACGTTTCATTAATTTATTTTAAACTTTTATTTCATTTCTCTTTGCATTGCATCAGTAGTAACATCAAGCATATAATTAAAATTGGATAAGATCCGGAAACAAGTTTTACGACTTATATAAATCCATCTCCAGGTAGAGAAAACGCAATTGAAATTAAGAACATAAACTAACAAACGGACATAATATATGAGAAGAGAAAAAAACCAGGTGTAGAATAGGGGGACTGGGCTGCTCAGATATTCCATAAAACAGTTTAATTTTAAAGATATATACAAACTGTTGCATATATGTAAAGTTTAAGGTAACTGAAGGACCTGGACATGCGTGGATTGAGAGAAAATAAAGAACACTCATTCAATTCTTTCTGATCTGAGGATGAAATTTTACGTACAATAAAACTAATGCGTTTCTATCGTTTGATAAATCTTCATCACCGAATAGAAGCAATTCAAATGAAATTGGGTGATTTATCGCGTACACGGAGTTGACAGAAAAGACTACAATATAACGAATAGTGTTTATTAGTCTCTTCCTTTTCCATACACGAACATATTAGGGTACCAACGAAATATCTACAGTATTAGTAAAATCTTTAAGAGCTACTCTCCATTTTCAATCTAGAGTGGTGGACTTCACCCATCGTGCCATCGTGCTACAGATATCATAGAAAGGTGGTACTTTATAGGGATTATCAAAGAGGTGATATTGCAGTCTGAGAATCGATGGATCATTTTAGATTAAGTATGGCAAGGAATACTAAAGTTCACTTAAAGAAAGCAAAATAATTTAATTCATAAAGTCGTACGACAGGGAATTGGATGAAAATTGTTGCCGACACGGGTATGGTGAACGTGGATACGGCTGTTACATTAAGGAAGAATATCTTGTAACTATTGCGAGGCGAGATTGTGAACCATTTCAGGGAAACATATAATTTATATTTACGTCTTTGTTCCAATGGCAAACAGCCTGTTTCAATATATGATTTCGATCTGCTAGTTAGCCTTATAGTCTGATCTACAGTAAGAAATGAATCATGTCATATTTGTCAACATCAATATTTTGACGAAGTATTTGATATATTTATGTCATCACGCTGTTAACCTAATTCATAGGGTTGTACAAAGGACACGCAAGATATTATTTCTTTTTGATGCAAAGTAATTACGTATAGTAGAACCAAATACTTGTAGTTTACAGTGTCCTACAGCAGTATCGCACTTCTAGGACTCGTCAGTGGTGCTAAAGTCCTATGTGTTACAATTAATTAGTATGATATTGAATCCTAGAAATGTTTGTTAATTTGTAATTCGGTTAGTAAGTGACTTCATAAATGTATGCACCGCTTGGTAAACATGAAACCATGCGCGTGTTGCTTCTGTTTAAGTGTGTGTACCTGGTGGCACTTCTGGAATCGTTTAGCATGTCATGTAAATATTTTACAGATATACAGCATATAATGAATATATATTGTATATAGTGATGTATTTGTTTACTGGCGGGGTTGCATTTCAACTTCTAGCCTTAAAACTGTACTAGTATTACAATACCGAATCAATTGGTCTTATTCTCCTAGTGTCTCTGTATTAACCTTTCTTTAGTTTGTAACGTCATTTCAACGACCGTTTTCTTCTACATCCTCAAAGCCTTAATATATGCTACTTTCACTTAAAGATCAATGAGAAAATATAATTTAAACGATATTGTACGTTGGTATTTATATAAAAGCTATTTATGTTCATTTTTATGACGTCAAAAAAAGCGCACAGCACGTGCGACATCGCGCATTACCTGTAATTTGAGTATGCAAATTGGTCACATTTTTTTTTCATGACGGCCTTCTGAACTTATATAGCACGGGTTAGTATTTTAAGTGGGGTCAACTTTTATTATTTCTTATTTGTTTTGATATTCCATTAATTGTTTCTCAAAAGATACTACTCACTTTAAGTA